AATTGGCTCGCTTGTCCTTTAAAGCGACCAATCATTTGCGACACTTTTCGGACACCCGGGAATCTCTGAATCCCCTCCCACCCTCACATGGTGGGTCAGGGTAACTTGTCCCACGGTGGCAGACCACGCCTGTTTGTTGTTTTTTAAGTTAAAAAAAAAGTTTATTCATAGTTTTAATTTACGGCGCTCGCAGCTGAAAAAAGTCAGAAAAAAAGAGTTCGTGGAACACATTGACAAGCTGGCTGCATTCCATTCACAAGTTCCCTGCACAGCTTGGCTTTGGTTAGTGATCAGACAAAATGGTTAAAAATCTTACACGACATTAAACAAAGTCACGACCACGAAGCAAAGCAGATACGGCAATTGATATGTTGATTATTTTAGAAGTATTCTTAGATTCTATTCACATTAATTCTGTTTAGAGCTATACAACATAGCATTTGTATAAATAACGCAAATTCACGCTCATGAGCAAGCTCTATGCGCTTTACAAAATTATTATTACCACTGCAGGGGACCGCAGGAGACCTGATAGCAATTTGAAATAAATCTCAACTTCCTGCACGGCGAAAATCGTGTATTAATGATATACGACAAATATTATTGAAGAAGAAAACAAAAACCCAACAACAATAACAATAATAACAGCATGAAAAAACATTGCATCAGAATTGAGCTTCATTAAGTTCAAAAATCGTTTCGCTTAACAACTTCAGACCTGCACAAGTTGCATTTTTCGAGAAGAAAAAAAAGTTTAAAAGTGTCTGTGGTTTACGCAGTGTGTCTAATTTTTGTGTTAGTAAGAGTTTTAGGGTACTTGCAACACAATAAGGTCATATAAGTGCCGAAGATCAGAAGTGTTGCAAGAGTGTAACAAACACAACAACAAAAAAAAGAAAGAGGGGAGATAAGGACGATAGATGTTTGATGCCAAAGAAGAAGCAAACCACACCAGAGCACCCGCCACTAAGGCTGGGTCACGAGCGCGAGAACGGAACTGAATCGCCACTCTTTCCTGCGGAATGCGATTCACAATTCACTTCAGCGGAACGCGGAACAGTATCGCCAAACGATTCCCGATTCACTCCCCTGTCGCTGTCACCACCTTGTGGCTTATTTATTAATTTAATGAGTCGAGTCACGAGCGCAAGAACGGAACGGAACACTTAGTATGGCTGCCCTTATTTTACAAGAGATGGTATAGTCCAACCCCCCTATTAAAACAAAATGAACGTCTAGGGTCCAACCAATTGACAGAAGGAATTTTATGGAGCCATTGTTTT